GAGTAGAGACACAGGACGCCAGTTCTTAATCTCCTGCAGGTCTCCTTTCTTAGGGAGGAGAGTGAGCACAGCTCTCCTGCAACTCAGAGGCAACCTCCCGTTACTTAGACTGTCTCTGAGCACACTCAGCAGGTCGTCCCCTATAACTGGCCAGAGAGCCTTATAGAAGTCTGCAGGCAGGCCGTCTATGCCAGGAGCCTTCCCACTCTGCATGCTCTGCAGGGCCTCCTGCAGCTCCTGGGCAGAGAGCTCAGCCTCCAGCTCAGCATGGTCCTCCTCAGGGACGTTAGGAAGGCCCTGATAGAACGACTGCGCCACCTCTGGCTCGGCCTGGAACTCTGTTCTGTAGAGCTCTTTGTAGAACTCCACAGCACACTGACGAATGTCGGCGGACTCCTGAAGCAGCTGCCCAGCATTGGATCGCAGGGAGTGCATCAGCCTCCTCTAACCATTCTTACGCTCGAGAACAAAGAACAAGTGAGAGGGAGCTTCCATTTTCACGATGTTCTGAAACCAGGATCTGACCAGAGCACCCTGAGCAGAAAACCCCAGCAGGTCAGACAGAGCTGAGTTTTTACTTTTGAAAACTTCAACATGTTCTCGCTCTCCTGTGGAGTCTGCCAATCCCTGCAGCTCCACCACTTCTCTCTCCAGAGCTCTCAGAGATCTAGCCATGTCCTTTGTGACATTGAAAGTGTACTGTAGGCAAAGTTGCTTGATCTTCACTTTACCTACATCCCACCACTGCTGAAGAGAATTGTACTCACTCTTAGATAAACGGTAGTTTTCCCAAAATAATTAAAAAACATTTTGAAAATGGTTGTCGGCCAACAGAGAAGCATTAAAGTGCCAATACGCACTATTACACTTAACATGATTAATAAAAAGTGAGACTTGTACAAGGGAATGGTCAGAGATTCCCACTGGACTGATGGAGCAGCTTCTGCTTACATTAATGTGATGGTTAAAAACATAGACACGATCCAGCCTAGCCAGAGACAACAGGTTATCCCTAGAGTGCACCCACGTGTACCGCCGCTGGCCCGGGTGGAAGTGCCTCCAAACATCACACAGCTCAAAGCTTTCTGTTAGTCTTATTAAGGCACTCTTCGAGGCAGCATGCGGTTCCTGGTGGTTCCTATCCAGCACAGGGTTCTCTGTTGAAGTCACCCCCCAGGAACAGATACTCCCCACTATCACAGGTGCTAAGTGTTGTGGAAATAATTATCATAAGACGCCAATTAGTAACATACAGGACAAACCTCGATGTCTGTTTACCTTCTTTAAGGACACAGGCGGCTTAGCCAATAATGTTATTGTTCCCATTCTGTGACCGGTCAATACTGGGATACAGATGGTCTGTGTTGTGGGTACACTGGGACACTTCCTTCTCTGTATTTGTGGACTCCAAGGTAAAATCTTCGAGGTCATAAGTGTCCGAGGCAAGTAGCTCTGTGTTCCCACACTGTTTAGGCTATCTCCTCAAATATGTTGTTTACTCTCTGCGAAACCAGTTAGATGGGCTGGCAAGAGAGAGGCTCTCCAGAATTGACGTGGCAACTCTACCGTGGAGTCAGAACCTCTGACTCTTGGATTTGTGATGTGAATACTCTGGTACCAACTCCAAATAAATCACAGTGGTTTGACATCAAAGCTCCGACTCTTCCCGTGTCTCCTTCCTGAGTCGGTGACTCCACTGCATGCTACACAGAAGTTTCCTCTACACTAAGAGTGTGTTTCAGTTTCTCAAAAAACAAAAGCCTCTCTGCGCCCACACTGGGAGCATAAATATTTATAAAACATATTTTAACTTTTTCAAATTCAGCATTTATTTTGAGCAAGTGTCCTGATGACCTCATCGACCGTACAGGAGAAGGGTGTAAAGCCCCTCGCAAAGAGAATTGCAACCCCTCCACTATTGCTGCGCTTATGGCTGAAGCCCTCCCCCCCATCCCCTCCTCCAGTCACTCTCGTTCTCAGCAGTACTGTGAGTTTCCTGGAGAAACGTTACATTTAAACTCTTGTTTCCTAATCAAGTAAATAAAGATGCTCTCTTAGCATCCCCTCGAGCACTGTTAATGTTTAAAGAGCCCAGCTTTATGTCACTCATAATGAAATTATAATTGCATCCTAACAAAATCAAAAACCTGGCTGAAGAAAAAAAAAATAAAGAAAATAAAACCAAGATGTACTTATTCATCATTCTTTGCAGTTTCCCCTCTAATCCTCTGAAGTATCTTATTTAACGAGCCTTCTCTGGGCCGCTGAAGAAAGGTTCCCCAAAGGCTTCTTTGCGCCGCATGAGAGCCCTGGCAGAATTGTGAAAGATCTGCAAATCTGCAAAAAAGTCATCTAATTTCACCCCCCTCCACCCCTTAGTTTCCGCCAGAAAGGATCTGATCCTCTGGAAAGAGTACTCCTCTCCCTTTGCTACCACAACGATGTCAAATAATGACTCGCTGTCACTGTCCTCTGAGTCCTCTGAGACTCCCTCTGGCTGAGAGGAGGAACACAGCGACTCCTTCTTTGACACCTTCCCTTTCTGAGCCACACTTCCTTTGCTCACTTGTTCGTTTTTCCTTTTAACAGGTAACCTTAACAAATCCTCATCCATTACCACCTCCTCTAGAACAGACTCAGCCACTCTGGCTGCAGTGTGCTCACTATCTGCTTTCTGTGTGACCTGAGTGTCCGTATGTGTGATACTGTGTGTACCGGCTGCCTGTGTGCTTTCTACGCGTGAAACCGTTGGCTCTGCCACGGACCGACTGACCTGCGGTTCCACCACCGGCGTTTCCGCCGCGGGCGCGGGCCCGGCCGTGGACAAAGCAACCGGCAGCGGCTCCGCCGCTGGCGCGGACCACAGCACCGGCGGCCCGGCCGTGGACAAAGGGACCTGCAGCGGCTCCGCCGCGGGCGCGGAGTCCAGCACCGGCGGCCCGGCCGTGGACAAGTCAACCGGTAGCGGCTCCGCCGCGGGCACCGTCGGGCCGGCTGCGAGCGCGGACACCACGGGTTGCGTCACCCGCACTCTCCGGGCACGCGCGGATCAGGTGTCCTGCCGCTCCACAACCATAACATCTCAAAATGTCAGACGTAACATGGACAGTATACACAAAATCATCAATTTTAAACTTAAGAGCCAGATTAAGTTCCCCTTCATCCTTCTTCAGGACCATAAGCACCTGTCTCCTAAAAGACACAACGTGCTTGATGTGCGGGGATTTGCAGCCCAGGAGGATCAACTTAATGGGAGATGCAAGCTGCCCGTGTCGAGCTAGCTCTCTCTCCAACAACTCGTTTCTCAGAAACGGGGGTACATTAGAGATGATGACTTTTTTAGCTGGAGTGACACGGGGTAGCACGGGTAACAGCGTCCCTTTAATCACTAGCCCGCTCTCCACCAGCTGGTTAGCTTTCTCCGTGCAGTCTAAAAAAATAACCACTGCACTATTCATGCGGGAGGCAGATTTAACTCTGCCATATCCCACCACAGCACCCACAGCCAGACCACACTCCTCCACCGACACACCGACAGGTGGAGAGAGCTTGATGGCGTGTTGGCAAGTCAGCTTCTCTAAACCAGCGCAGCTGCCACGGAACGCCATGCCTGGCGGCGTGACTGCAGCTCCAGCCGCTAGACAAACAATTAGACAAACAATTCACCAGTGCAACCAAACAACACCACCAAAAAACACCAAAGTCGGTGAAGTGATGCACAAAGACATAAACTATCACCCAGAGAAAAGTGAATAGTTAACAATGGTTTGAAAAGTTGTAAACTTTAAACGATCGCTCTCCACTATACTCACCAGTCCACTCACAATCTCAGAGAGAGAGAGAGAGAGAGAGAGAGAGAGAGAGAGAGAGAGAGAGAGAGAGAGAGAGAGAGAGAGAGAGAGAGAGAGAGAGAGAGAGAGAGAGAGAGAGAGAGAGAGAGAGACCGGTGCCAGCAGGGACCGTGTTGTTAGCATCTGGTTAGCTAGCTGCACTAACGGACATAAGGAGCTGTTTGTTCCAGAACAATCTGGAGGAGAGTCCTCCTCTCAGACTGAGAGACTCAGGTGAGCTAAAGGACTCTCTGAGTGTTTAGATAGTTAACTTTAGTCTAAGTTATCTCAGTGGGTCTCAAACGGTTTGGTCACAAATTATTCAAAAGATTATTTCCGCGGCACACCTTCATATGATCATTATAGTTATAAAAAAAATAAGAGAATAAAGGAAAAACAGTTATGAAATACTATATGGCAGTAAAACAAGAATACAGTTTGAAAGGAGAGTGATTTGTAAAATATCCATAAAGAAAAAAAACATCTGATTACAGTTGTGTTTCATCTGGGTGTTGAGAGATGTATCCATAGATCTCTTAATGTTGCTCTCAAAGTGCACCAGATTGATGCTTTTAACTTCAATATTTAAAAAAAATCTTCCCGGGGGAGCATCCCCCCGGACCCCCCTAGAGGAGGTGAGGTCCGCTCTCCACTCATAAAAAAATAGTACTTTACCCCTGCCTATATGCCGTGAGCTGATTATCGAGCCTTCATTGTAACAGTCGCGGGTGTACTGTGTGTTTGCGTGTGGGGAGTGTTGCAGTAGAACATTCCACTGTAGTGCCCCTGGTGCTCGCGCGATCAGATTAGCTGTATTAAAAGAAGGTAGAACAATACCTACAGATACCTAAAGCTATGGTTACCATCTGGTTGTCAGAGATATGGGATTGATGCGTATACAGCAGACACATGTCCTTAAAGCAACAAAAAAAGCCATATAACATCAGCTGAACTTTTATCTATGTGAGTTTGCATAATTCACATGTCTAAACCACAAGGCAAAGAAGTACAACAAAAAACAGAGCTAAATAGTAGTGCCAGAATTGTTATTATTATTTCACAGTTCAGGTTTAGCATGATTATCAGGCAGGTGTTTTTGTAGTAGAAAATACCTTTCCGACCTTTTCATTTCTAATAACATAGTGGTGCAGCTTATATCCTTGAACTCACCCTGATCCAGAGCCTCTTTGTTGTCGTTCCACAGCAATCTGTTATCTTGATGATCTTTGGGGGGGAAAACATAGCTTACTTAGACTAAGCACAACTTATTTTTGAGAAGTGTAAGTGAAGGTAGCTAAAATAACAAGACAAGTTCAAATGGAGAAATGATTTAAAAGCAAGTGTGAACCTTAAATTAGAATACATTCACTCTCTATCCAACAGGGAAAACAAATACCATAGAAAGGACAAACCAAAAATATGAGTTGTTGTCCCTAAAACCCAAATGTATAACTATATATATACAGAGATATGCTAGAGAGAATGAAACAAAAATGAATACCAGCAGTGACTAGGGTTTAGGGGCCAGACACTTTAAAAGCAAGGCGGGTTTGCTGTGAACAATGTTTCAGACAGCGCACATGCTGTTGGTTGTGATAACTTTGTGGGGTTGTATTGGGGTGAACACTGGACCACAAAGATAAGATGGAGTGGTCAGACAGCGAGTACAAAAGCTTATAATGGCAGCACGTGTGAATAAAACAGGGTCAACGTCTGACTCCAAGTGTTTTAATGGCTGGAGAGCAAGGTGGAGGGGTGGAGTTGACTTGAAGCTACTAACAGCGGCTAGCTAGAAGGCCACAAGCTTAACCAGCTTTATTATGCTCCAGCCAACAGCTAGCTGAGGAGGCAGTAGTCACCGGCAACAAAGACTACAGATGTAGCACTCCAGATAGGTCTCCACCCAGCTGATTCCCGGAGTCGTCGCGGAGAGACGGAGTGGATCCACGCTTCGGGCTTGGCCTGCTTCCACCGGGCGTGTGCTGCTGTGCGGAGGAGGATTTTATCACGGCTGGGGCCTGCTTTCCACCTCTCCTTGTTCTGCTGTTGCAGAGGCCTGCTTTCACCCCGGGGATACCACACTGCTGTTTTCCCCTGTCCTTTGCTGCTGTGCTGATTTTGCTCCAGGAACATCGCAGATACTGTGTGCTGGTCTGGGAAAATGGCCCATATCGGGATTCTGCTGTGCCTGTTAACTGTTTTGGACTATGAGAAGATCTCTAATCTTTCTGAGAAGTCTACTGGATTCAGGTCTGTTCTGCCACCCGCAGTGGGCATCCCCTGCAAAGGTTCGGATGTGTTGCACAAACAATTACCGGTTGCCTTGTCACAGACAATCTGCTCTACAACATATGTTTGTCTTTTTTGTTTGCCTGCGATGATGGTTCTTCAGGACTGCTTCTTGAGCTCTAATCACACTCTCGCAGACTTTTCCGGTGTTTCTAAAGTAGATGACAATGTATGTGTGTCGCTTAAGAGGAAAATATGCCTGTTTTTGTTGTTGTTATTACTGTCAGGAAATGTACAACCTAACCCTGGTCCGCCCAGTAGTAGTAGTCAGATTGCTACGCCTGCTGATTTTAAAGCTAGGTCTGGGTTGGGTTTCATCCACTTGCATGTGCGCAGTCTGTTAGGTAAACTAGATTTTGTCCGCATCTGGGCGAGCTCGACTGACGCTCACGTCATTGTTTTATCAGAAACATGGCTAAATAAATCTATTTTGGCCTCTGACATTGCCTTAAATGGTTATAATGTGTATCGTACCGACCGGCCTAATAAAGGTGGTGGCGTTGCCATTTATGTTAAGAATAAGTTCAGTGTAACCACATTAGTTTCCAAATCTATCAGTAAGCAATTCGAATTTGTAGCCTTAATTATAGAAGTGGCAAAGGGGCAACAGGTCATGGTGGTGGGCTGTTACAGACCCCCCTCAGCTGGCAAGGACTCCTTGTCTTCGCTAGCAAATATTTTATCGCAACTAGACTACAAGGAAATAGTGCTACTTGGAGATTTTAACTGGGACTGGTTAACTGCAGTGTCAGAGGATTTTAAAAACCTTTGTATCTCTTTAAATGTTACTCAGATTGTTGACAGTCCTACTCGCCCTAACATTAAGTCCCCAAATAAATCCTCCCTAATTGATCTCATTCTAACTAATGCTCCCTATAAATACTTATCTGTGGGAGTATTTGCGAATTATTTTAGTGATCACTGTGTTGTAGTCACAATTAGGGACACTAAGGTTCAAAAGGTTAAACCTCGTAGTATTATTATTAAGAGAGACATAAAACATTTTGTGGAGCAGGGTTTTGTTCATGATCTGTTTGGGTTTGATTGGGGAAAAATCGATCTGTGTGCTGATGTAGAAACTGCATGGTCTTATTTTTATCTTGGTTTTATGGAGATCATTGATAGACATGCACCCCTGGGTAAATTTAGAGTGAAGGGACGAGACAATCCTTGGTTTTCTGCTGAACTGTCCAGTCTCCTACATGAGAGAAACAAGGCCTGGGCAAAGGCTAGGAAATCAGGCTCAGAGGTAGAATGGCTGCGTTTTAGGCAGCTAAGGAATAGCTTCACTTCAAATGTCAAAAGTGCAAAGTCGATGTACTATTTGTCAGTTACCACAGAAAACCTAAATAATCCTAGGACATTTTGGAAAGCCATAAAATCGATATCCACCGGTGATATCCGTAATGAGCTACCTCAGTGCCTTACCACAGCATCTGGCTCTATATCGGACAGGGCTACTATGCTAAATTGCTTTAATGAGCATTTTGTGTCCTGCGGTTCTATGTTTGATTCTGTTTCTAACTATGCTTCTGTGAACAACCCAATCCGTGACTCTGAACAATGTGGTCTGGAAAACCCTTTCAGTTTTACTCCTTTTACTGTTAATGTTGTTCATGAAGCCTTATCTAAGCTAGATCCTAAGAAACCGGCTGGCCCGGACAACGTAGAACCTTTCTTTTTAAAGATAGCTGCAGATTTTATTGCTCCTCCTCTCACTACTCTTTTTAACCTCTCCCTCAGCACAAATGCAATTCCAAAAGTATGGAAGTCAGCTTATGTCTTGCCTTTGCTAAAAGGAGGGGAGGCAACTATTTTAAATAACTATAGGCCAATCTCTAAATTGTCAGTTCTGGCGAAGGTTCTTGAACGCTTAGTGAGTGAACAGGTAAAGGAGTTTTTATGTAAAAATGATATCCTGTCTAAACATCAGTCAGGCTTCAGAAAGCAACATAGCACCATCACTGCCACAATGAAAGTGGTGAATGACATTACGGGTATTTTAGATAATAAGCAGAGTTGTGCAGCTCTATTTATTGACCTTTCCAAAGCGTTTGATACCGTCGATCATTACATCTTAAAGCAGAGGCTACTCAGTATTGGCATATCCAGCCATGCAGTGGGTTGGTTTGTGAACTACCTCTCTGAAAGGTCCCAATGTGTTCACTTTGATGGGCTGTCTTCTGAGTGGTTAAACATTGCTAATGGTGTTCCTCAAGGTTCTGTTTTAGGTCCACTTTTATTCTCCATATATATCAACAGTTTAGGTGAAAATGTGAATGAAGCTACTTTACATTTTTATGCGGACGATACCGTGATGTACTGTGCAGGTCCCACCATTAAGGAGGCTGGTGTTAAATCACAGGCTGTTTTTAACATTATTCAGACTCAGCTTGCTGAACTTAAGCTTCTTTTAAATGTTGATAAAACTAAGGTAATGATATTTTCAAAAGCTAAAAAGACACCAGAGCCTGTTTTGGATATTGTTACTATGCAAGGACAAGTACTTGAAGTGGTTACCTGTTATAAATACCTAGGTATCTGGCTTGATGATTGTCTTACTTTTAAACTTCATGTCAATAACCTGCTTAAAAAGCTGAGGGTTAGACTAGGTTTCTTTTTCAGAAACAAGTCCTGTTTCTCACTTGAGGCCAGGAAAAGGCTAGTCACTATGACCTTTTTACCTGTGCTGGACTATGGTGATTTGTTGTATATGAATGCACCTGCATATTGCCTGAACAAGTTAGATGCCGCCTATCACAGTGCACTGAGATTTGTCACAAATTGTAAAGCACTTACTCATCATTGTATCCTGTATGCCAAGGCAGGTTTGCCATCACTTACTGTAAAGAGGCTCAGTCATTGGTACACATTTATTTATAAAGCTTTGTTGGGTAAACTCCCGTATTATATCTGCTCTCTGATAACACAGAGAGTTGCAAGCAGCTATTGTCTGAGATCGCATGATGTAGTATTGTTAGAGGTGCCAAGAGCAAGGACTGTCTTAGGTAAGACAGCTTTTATGTGCGCAGCTCCACTTGCTTGGAACAATCTTCAGCAATAATTGAAACTGAGCAATCTCATTCCTCTGCATGTTTTTAAAGCTAGGCTAAATGATAGAGATGTCCCGATCCGATCACGTGATCGGGGATCGTAGCCGATCACGTGATAATTTTTTTTTAAATTATTTTTATTTAATGTTACAAAACTAAAATGACCATGTTCACGTCTTAAAGTCATCCTGAGGCCTTAGTTTTGGTTTAAAATTACACAACATCATGTATGTGTTGCTTCTTTTGGGCTTGTTTTCATAGACCTGGTTGCTTATTTCTCTCAAATCTGGCAACAGAGTGGGCAGGGCGCAGTGTCTAATAGTAGCAGTAAGCTAACGAGAGTCTACGTTCAGATTGAATTTATTGAAATCTCCAATATCAACGTAAGAGCTTGTGCCTCTTTGGGGGGTGCTAACACTTATCCATAAACGTTATCGTTTACTTTCTCCGTCTTTATATGTAGATATTACTTTTCTCCGTTAATCTCCGTCACGTTGTTTCCAAAGCAACAACAACTTGGGAACAACAACCTCTCCTTCAAAATAAAAGCATGTCCACAAATAGGAAGCCAAGCGAAATTACACTTAAGACATATATAACTGCAACAAAAGTAACAAACACAATGCGATATCCTTTTCAATTTCAAAGAACACAAATTGGGTTACATTAGCAAATAACTATAAAACAACAATACTGTAGAATAACAAAATGAATGCCGTGAATACACCGAAACACACGTGTTGAAGTGGTTCGCTGCTGATTACTATTTAATTGTGTTACTCCAGTAAGATGGAAATATAATACTTTGTTTATTCATGTTATGTTAAGCTGCTGTTGTTCATTGCATTATTACTAGACTAGTTAGTCTTAAGGATAGAATTC